CTCACACAAGAATACAATTGCTTGTATTCTTTCTATTAACAATACATAATACTTCATTATTAAACTTAAAATCTTCTACTAGCTTGCTAAATATATTTTTCTGCAGTCTTAAGGTCTATCTTAGTTAAGTCTAAAACTCAAGCTATTGTTTCATGTCCTTGCTGTACTACTGTAACTTTTTCTACTTTCAGACTTTGCAGCTGCAGCTAGCTCTAAGTTTTGTGTTCTTTCTGTTTCTAAGGCCTGCTTTTACAGCTTTCTGGAAATCTTCTTACCTTTACTATTTCCCACATTTCCTCCTCTCAGTACAACCACAAAGAAACTCTCTTAACTTTGTTGCTTGTTGACTACCTTTCTAGAAATCTTCTTACCTTTACTATTTCCCACAGTCAGGCCATGGTGCTGGTTTGTACCTGAGATTTTTGAGTGAGTTTTGCCAAGAAAACAGAGCTTCTGCCAACCCCATCCTACCAAAGGGGTCACAATCATCTGAACATCCCCCTCCCATGGAGCACAGGAGCTCTGTGACTCTGCCAAACTTGGAGACAACCATGAACTCCATGGTGTGTTTTTAAAGACAAATCACTTTTCTGATTTGCTTGAAAAAGAGGAAAATAGGATTGGAGAGGACAGAAGGGTGGTTCATCTGTAAGGAAAATCAGATGTTTGGGAAAAACTCTTCACGGAAAGGGTTGTCAAGCCCTGGAACAGTCTGCCCAGGGAAGTGGCTGAGTCACCATCCCTGCAGGGAGTTACAAGATGTGTAGATTTTGAGGACTTGGTTTAGTGGTAGACCTGGCAGTGCTGGGTTAATGGCTGGACTTGAGGATCTCAGAGGGCTTTTCCCACCTAAACAATTCCATGGCAGGTCACTGCCAGCACTGCCAGCACTGGCACATGACTTTCCACCCAAGGGCTGGTTGGTGCAGCACAGAGGCAGATGAGTAGTAGAGAGGGGAGGGCAAATAAAATTATAGACCTGATTCCAGGAAAAAAAAAAAAAAGTTAGAAAAAATCATTTAACAATTCCTAAGTATTGAAATGATAATTAGGTTATTTATACCCAGAGAACACTGCCAAGGACAACTTGCAGAGACCAATCTCATTCTGTTCAGTGACAAGATAACCAACCTTATCCAAACCAGGAGAAAGACTCACATGTGATATATCTCGAGTACAACCCTGGCCAGAGTCCCACACAAAATCTTCAGGAGAAACTGAGGGGAAAAATGGTCTAAATGAAGTCACAGACAAATTAAGCACTGACCCAGCAGTCCCCTGAGCTCACGTGGAAGCAATGCACTGCTGGAATATGAAATTAACCTTACCTTTTCAGAGTGGCATTTAACGTCCAGGTTACAGTAAGGTTAATAAAAGCAGTGTTAAAAATTTCCTGTCTTGTGGCATTTTAATCCAAGCTATTTAAATTCCCTGACCTATATGCCTCCTTGTGTAAAGCAGGTTTTGTTCATTTTCCCCACAAAAAGAAGGTTTTGGGAAGGTAGGTTGAGCATGGGAGAGAGTGCAGGTTACACATAGTAGGAACCCAGAGTGAAATTCTGACTGCTGTACACTGTTTGCTCTCTTTGTTTATCTTAGACATGTCACATTACTTAAAAAATAATATTTTTGAAGTAAATATTTTCCATTTCTCATTTAAACAAAAACAAAAACAAAAAAACCTAAACAAACAAACAAACAACAAAAAAACCCAAAAACAAACAAAAAAACCCCAATAAGTTTGGACTTTACAATGATTTTGGGATCAGAATGAGAAGATGAGAAGCAGATGTTGCTGGAGGAGGTTGTAACTCCCGGCTGCAAAGCAGGGACATGGCTTATGCCTCCACCTGCCACTCCTGGCTGTCCCTCAGTGGCTGTGGGACAACCAAACCCCCAAAGTGCTCTACTCCAGGTAATCCTGGCGATCCTGAGTGTGATATACCTCAGGGTGCTCCTTGGTTAAGGACATAGAACATCTGAGTTCTGCTGAGCCTTCCTTTCCCTCCTCCTAAAACTTGCCAATATTAAAAAAAATAATAATAGTAACAAAAAAAAAAATACATCTGGGGTTTTTTTCCCCCCACCAAGAAATCCTGGATATCCACCATCCAGGACTCTGAACTAGAGTTTTCCATCACCAAGGTGTCCAGGGCAAACCAAATTGCCAAAAACACTGCCTTAGGATCCTCCCCAAACTCTGCAGATGGAGTCTGTGGATCTCTCTAATTAGGCTGGTCAGCTACATTAACCTGCACATGGCCTGAGGGCAGGATCTGAGTCCATCCATCATCCCATCAGCCCAGAGCCAAGGGGATCACCTTCAAGTAATTAAACTTTCCCATCCTGGCACAGGATCGCATCCTTCCACATCCACATCCTGCACATTTGGATCGAGCATGGAAGAAACAGAGCCAAGGCAAACAGCTGCACAAGCACAGAGGAAACCCCCGTGGCAGTATCACCCCTCATTAAACAAAACCAAACTAAACCTGAGCCCTCTTTTCTTTGCTCTCATTTGTGTTACAGATGAAGCAGTTCCACCCCCAACACCTTTATTGCTGCTGCATCTCAGGTTTTCTGTTGGATATTGAATATTACCGTTGGATCGCTGTTGGATATTTACCTGCAGGGATACCTGGTTTTATTTATTTATTATCTACAAAGAAAGGGAGAGGTTTAAAGCACACACAGAACATTCCCATTAAGGTCTGTCCCTGCTGAGAGCAGAGACACAGATGCTGGTGGGAAGGCCATGCTCCTTTGTTCCAGCCACACCATGATCTAATACAAAAGGCAATTTTTCTTAGCAAACCAGTCATCCATTGTCCAAAAGCAGGAGGCAGATAATTAGTGTTGCATTACCCTCTCCTGGCACTTAATTAACTGGGGATGCTGTGACAAAAGGCATCCAATGTGTCCATCTTCTGTGGCAAAGGGACACAGGCTCAGATGAGCAGAGAACAGAATCACGGAATGCCAAGTTGGAAAGGAACCTCAAGGATCATCTGATCCAACCTCTCTTGGCAAAAGCACTGCCTGGACAGGATGGCCCAGCACTCCATCCAGATGAACTTTAAAATTGTCCAGCATTCTGGAATCCACCACTTCTCTGGGGAGATTATTCTAAAGGCTGATTGTTCTCATTGCACAACATTTTCCTCTTGTCCGAGTCTCTGATAATCTCCCCAGGAGTAACTTGCACCCAATACCCCACATCTTTGCCATGTGAAAAGAGAGTCTTCGTGTCATTTGTGGCCATCCTTTAAATGCTGGAACACAATGAAAAGGTCTCCCCTAAATCTTTTCCCAAGGCTGAATGAACCCACCTCTGACTGAGACACACAGAAAGGAAACTTCTCCAAGGTGCCTTGGCCAATGCAAACAGGTCCCTCCCCTTGCAATCTTTTCCACAGGGATGCTCAGCTAAGGGACCAACCAATTTTGGCTGACTGGGAAAATCCACGCTGGAGGACTCTGGAGGAGATGTATCCATGGCAATGCCACCAGACAGGATGTGTGCAAGCCTGGAGGGGAAACCAGCACTCAAGTCTAAGCCATAACCCAGAGCATCAACGGGCTCTGCTGGGCAGCCAACACACCGTGGCTGTTTCAAAATAGCTGAATTTTCCACACCAGCTCCTCTTTGCCATCCATTAAGGGTGGTTTCAGCGTCACAGCTCCAACTGCCAAGCTGTGGACAAGCTGGGAACAATAAGGGATCTCTTCAAACATTTAGAGATTTCAAGTGTCTTGAGTTATTCTGTGAATTTGCATTAAAAACAGAAGTTCTTTCATTCAGCACAATAAATATTCCCTTTTTTTAAATCTAAGCTACAATGCATTGAGGTTCATTATTTGTCTAATCCACATTTCAATTCTCCTTTCTTACGGTTCTTTGATTGTGCACAAGTATCTCATTCTCCCATTCTTTCTTTCTTTTATGCCTTTAATTTTGCCTTGCAGAATAGCCTAAAAATCACTATTTACAACTGAACAGACAACTTGTACTTACTTCAATACCTTCTTCACATTAAAAAAAAAAATAAAAATCAAAATTAAACCCAAATTTGTAAGAAGAGAGAAACCCAAGAGAAACCTCTATTTTTTAAAAAAAATACGTGTATATATATTTTTCCATCCAGGCAGAACCATTATTTGTGAAACAAAAAAATGTTTCCCAAAGACTATTTGCAACCCTCAAAACATGAACACAAAATCAGGCTGTGTTAGTGAATATTGAAATCAAAGGCAAGTGGAGAGAATGGTGACATTCTTCCCTGGTGAAAAAAGGAAAACAGAGCCCTTTGCCATGTTACAAAGCAAGCCAGATCCACGAACAAAATAAAGCATGTGTTCCAGATGAAAAGACTTGCTCAAAGCCAGACTAGATAAGCTCAGATCAGCCCTAGAACTGGTCTGGCCTCTGCTTAAAAAAATGACACAAAGAGAGAATCCACAGCTATTTGCAAGCCACTGTTCAAAGTTTCAGCATTTCCTGAGTTAGTTTTTGATCCTGTTTGCCACGTCCAAGCATGTTTCCCAGATTCAGGCAGCTTCCACAGCAAAGTTATCCTCTGGGAAAGCACAGCCCATTGCATTTGTACATCCTTCATCTACTCCCTCCATCTGCCAGCCTTAGAACAACCACTGAGACAAACTTCTTGTAAAAGTGATGGGGAGATGAGAAAAGACACAAGCCACTCTAGAGAATATTCTGCATTTCTCCTTCTGGTTCCCCAAAATCCTCCAAAACCCTCATTAGTGCTGCTCTCCCATGCCACAGCCTCAAATTCTGAGCGTGGTGAGAGGTCAGGCCTTAATCACACAGATCAAACTGCAAAAGTTTGGGTTTCACCTTTGAGAATCAGTGTCAGGAATGACCCCTGGTGAGGGTGTGATATTTACACAGCAGCCACAGTGAACCTGAGCAAGTCAAACTTCAGCTCTCAGGGAACCAGGTGGAAGGAATAAATTACAGCAAGGGATCAATACTTCACCGAGAGGTTGATAGCCTTGTCTGGAAGGGCCTCCAAATGGGTTCCTGCTCCCAAATCCACTCCCATCAATGGATCCATAAGACATTTTCTGGATAGTGATGGATGCTGGATTACACTTCAAACCTAAAAAACAAGAAAAGACAGGCACAGCCCTGTTAAAAGCCAGTTAAACCCCAATAGCCTGAGAAAAAAAGAGGACTGAGAAGGCAAATAAAATATACAGGGCAATCTCCAAACTTCAGGATGTCCACCTGCAAACAAATTAAAAGCACTAAAATCCAGGTGTTCTGAACTACAAATGATTTTGAGGGCAAGCAAGTCATTTGACCTCCCTGTGTCTCATTTTCTCCACTGATAAAGGGCAACTTTTAATTCCTCACTGTTCACAGAGTGCTTTGAGATCCTGAGCTGGAAGGTAAAGACTTAAGCACTCAATCAAAAAAAAGGTGATGCTGTCTTCTGGAACATTACCAGTACACAGCTGGCTGGAGTTTATCCATCACACTGCAGCCCTGATGAGCTCTCAAAAGAGACAGTTTGCTGTTACAAGCTCCTGGGCCTCCAGCAGAAATACTGGAGCCAGATTTATTTTGCCTTGCTGGCTTAAATAAATAAATAAATAAATAAATAAAAATTAAAAATCTGCAAGGCCTGAGGTAGCAGCAGCAGAATTAAATAAATGCAGCAGTCAGAGGAAGACAGCTTCTTCCTCCTTATCCACAGAAATGCCTCACCCAGACATCTTCCAGCATTTCAACAGTGTCCAGGGCTTTGGTACCAAAATAGCTCCGTTCCAAGGCATGGAGATGATGGCAGCAAAGGAAGAGAAGAGCTAAAGGTGCTGCATGAGCTGGGAGATTATACAGCACCAAACCCAGCTGCTGCTTTCTTACCAAGGCTATGAAAAAATCACCCCAGACTGGTGTTTCTACCACAAAAAAAAAAGTTACAATCCTGCAAGGATAGCAACACTTGTGGTGTGATGGCAACATCAGAATGGTTTCGGTTGGCAGGGACCCTTAAAGGTCATCCAGTCCAACCTCCTTGGCCTGAAATGTTGCTAGTGTTGGGGCATCCTGCTCCAGTGTTTTACTCACCTTACCATAAACTAAAATTCTTCATTATAACTACTCTGTATCTACTCTTTTTTTTAGTTTAAAACCATTGTCCCATCACTACAGGTGCTGCTATAAAGTCTGTCCTTATCTTTCTTATACTAAGTATTGAAAGGAATTTTAATTTTAATTTTTCCACATTAAGGAATCCCCAGAGCCTTCTTCTCTCCAGGCTGAACAACCCCAGCCTTTCTTCACAGCAAATCTGCTTCACCTCTCTGATCATTTTGTGGCCTCCTCTGGTCCAGCTCCAACTGTTCCATGTCTTTCTTGTACTGAGAAAGATGTTGGGGTGTTAGGCTGGATGACATGAGCTGTGATGCTTCATTCTGGGCTTGGACGTTCAAATTTCTCATGTTCTGGACCAGCCATTTTCCCTCTGACAGAGGGCTGGCAATGGCCTCCACTTTCTGTGGCATGTGACCAAGTGTTACATGATGTCCCAATTCAAGGATATCTCAGGAAAAGTCTCTTTTGGGGTGCAGTGATACTGACACTTGCAGCTATTCCTTTGGTTTGTCCTCCATGCAAAGCAAAGCACCAGAAAATCCCAATCCTGCACTGTACTGGGAACAGCCTGATGGCCTCAGGCACCTGTTGTACTTCATTCTCCTTTATTTCTTTGAGTTTCAAAACCATGAAAAAAAAAAAATCAGCGCTGAGATTCAGCAGACAGTGGAACTCCAGGACCAAAAGAAATCACTCACCATCCTCCCTTAATTGGGCCAGACACATGAAAGAGGATGAAAGTGCAACTGCCTTGACAGAGCAATGGTTGGGAGCTAAATCCATTAAAAGTGGAGAAAATCCAGAGTGCAGTTTCCCCTGCCAGCCTCAGTGTACCACGTCCACACATAATTGGCATCTGAGGCTGTAGGTGCCCCCAGGGCAGAAATCCTTCATTTTAGGGAAACAACCTTTAGCCCAAACTTATGGAAGCTGAGCTGTGAGAGCCTGAGCAGCCAGAGGGAGGGTGAGGGTTGGAGTGTGCTTCAAGGAGAAAGAAAATGGAGCAAACAAGAGGAAGCAAGGAGCAAACCTGCAAACCAAGACACTCAACAGCAAAACAATCCATCGTGTCAGCTGTGCAAAGCTGCAAAACCATGAGCTCCATGGAAATACACCCTACAATTGTACTTTCTCCCAGAAAATCTCAGAGAAACTTCCAGTAGCTCAGGAGGGTCTGCAAGAGAGGTGGAGAGGGACTTTTTAGTAGGCATGGAGTGATAGTACCAAGAGTTATGGCTTTGAACTGAAGGAGGGTAGGTTTAGATTGGATATTTGGAAGAAATTCTACATTCAGAGGGTGGTGAGGTCCTGGAACAGGTTTTCCAGAGAAGTCGTGGCTCTCCCATCCCTGGAAGTGTCCAAGGCAAGGTTGGACAGGGCTTGGAGCAGCCTGGGATAGTGGAAGGTGTCCCTGCCCATGGCAGGGGGCTGGAACTGGATGCTCTTTAATGTCTCTTCCTGCCCAAACCATTCTGTGATTCTGTAGTGTCTTGGTGGAAATTCTTGATCACAACCACTAAAACCTACAAGATTCAGCTGAAGAGTCAGTTGGGAAGTCTGTGATGGACTTGGGAACAAACCCCAGCTCTTCCAGGCCTCAGGTGAGCCCAGAACTACCAGCACAACCTTCATCCTAAAATGCAAGCCAAGATCCAAAATTTACCTGGGAAAATATGAGCCCATGGAAGACAGTTACAGGAAAGTCTTTGTGCAGAGATAAGGATTATTTTCTTTATCTCCCACAGTTTAAGACCACTGCAGGGATTTGGGACAACCAAACAGCTTGAAAACAGCCTCTGTACAGAGATTTTTCCTCACCCACCCTCTCTCTTTAGAGATACGCAAGTGGAAACATTTCTTGCCATGACTTCCCCAAGGCCACAGACAACAAACATGGAGTGAAAGTCTACACCCTGTTGTAAAATGCCTTGATTACAACTGGGCAAGTGTTGTTTTGGCAAACAGTGAATGCATCTACTTTTTCCCCAACAGAGTGGTGTGAAACGGGGAGAGAAGGGGGGTTTTGGAGCACTCCAAGTGTTTAATGTTGATTTATCATTTTCAGGACATGTTTCCATTTTAAAGCTTTTTCTCCTTGTAAGGGAGGAAAAATAGAAAGAATTGAAAATGAAATATTTTGTTGTAGCTTAACCAACCTTTTTAGCAGCAGCCACCTCCCACCCCATCCTACCAAGCTATTGAAATATCCCTTATTCATACAGCTCTGGAGCCAAATTCTTACCCCACAGTAATATATTTACAGGAAAATTTAAGAGCAGATCTAAATGCCTTTAATTTGATTGGCAATAAAAGCACTTCCCTCCCCATCCCCATGGCACTTCCCAAATCTTTTGTCTACTGCTCCTCAGGGAAACTTGTCCAATTTACTGTGAAGGCAGTTTGTACAAATTGGAACAAGCATTTCCTAACGTACTAGACACAGAAAAAAAAGAAAAAAAAAGAATAAGAAAGAAGAAAAAAACATTTATCACAGCTTTATCCTCATCACCTGAAATACAAATAAAAGAATAACCACATCCAAGCCAGACTAAAAGAGGCGTGAATTTGTATTTTATAAAATTAAGTACTTCTTGCTTTGTATACCATGTACAAGCCAAACATGCCATGACTAGAATAGCAGGATGTAGAATCTCAAGGAAAGAGTTGGTCCACATCTCTTGGACTGGGAAAGATATTGGCAAGTAAATCCATACAGGCAAAATTAAATTTAAGCGCTCTACACCCATCAGTCTCCATTTAGAGACACTTGGGTGGGCAGCATTAGTGGTGGGAATGAAAGGTAAGATTTCTGCATGGAAGAAATAACTTTTATTATTATTATTATTATTATTATTATTATTATTATTATTACACTATTACATCTCAGTCATTAAACTGTTCTTGTTTCAACCTACAAGCTTTCTCACTTTTACTCATCTACTTCATTTCCACCAGCCTGCTGGGGACGGTGAGGGAGTGGTTGTGTGGAACTTATTTGCCAGCTGGAATTCAACCACAACAGCACTTCAGACAATTTATTGTATTTAAAGTTGAGATTGGCTGAGAAAGACATGAGCTGGAACATTTCTTTCCAGACAATACTGGAAAAGAATTAGGAAAGGAGGAGAGAAATGGACATATTTGAGAGAATCCACTGAGGGACCCTAAAGATGGTCAAAGGATGGGATGAGGAAAGGCTGAGGGAGCTGGGGCTCTTCACCCTGGAGAAGAGAAGGATGTGGTGGTATTAAGGTGTCTCAATATCTGATGGAAAGAAGCAAACATGATGGAGCCTGACTCTTACTTGTGGTGTTCAGTGACAGGACAAGAGGAAAGAGGTATTGAAATACAGGAAATTCCACTTCAACAAAAGAACAAAAAAAAAACCAAAAAACCTGCTTGTTTTGGGGTAGGAATGGCTTTTTTGCTTTTCTTTTTTTTTTTTTTTTTTATGGTGAGAGTCATGAAACATCAGCACAGGCTGCACAGAGAGGCTGTGGGGTCCCTGTCCTTGGGGATATTCAAGCCCTGACTGATCATGTGCCAGAGAAACCTGCTCCAGGTGACCCTGAACTCGGAAGGGAGTTAGACACGATGACCTTCAGATGTTCTTTCCTACCTGTGGGATTCTGAAATTTTCCTCCTGTGATGCCTGAAACAGCATCAGAGGCATTCATGGCCCTCTTGGCAGACTGGAGGGCCCTTACTGTGCCTATTTACTAAACAGGTGGAGAAAAGAGTCAGAAAATTGCAAACCCACCAGGTTTTTTTCCAATTTCCTGTAAAGACAGTGGAATGAAGCCACGGAAAGTATGTGATGGTGAAAACCAGAATTGACAGCCACTATGCAGCTGGCAAGAAGTCATATCAAACCAAGCTTCTACTCTTTATAGAAGTCAGCAGGGAGTGGAAGCCTGTTACGGTCTCGTGTTTGCATGGCCAAAGAAATTGATTGGAGGTACAGCAACTTTTTTTTTTTAAATTAGAAAAATCATAGAA